GGGTGTCGTCCGAGCCGGTATCACACTTTGATCTGGTTACTACCATGATAATTATCTCCACAGAATGTGGGTGTGGTCACTCTTAGCTTCATTTCTCCTCATAGATCTTACTGGCATGGGTGTCCCTACCAGGAGCTTGTGCTCCAGCCTGCATTGCTCTATGGTTCAGTAAAATTACTGGGCTCTCCCACCACGACCAGGTGGTGACCACGGGAGAGTTATTATTATTATTATTTATAGAATTTGCTACTTATAATACAGTTTTTCAAAGATATATTTTGTTTTATAATTATTTTGACAGATTTGATTATTTTTGAAGATTATTACTAATGAATAGTACCCAATTTTATATTTAATTTGAAATCCCTTTTGTCTATCAGTATATTATATCTGTTTATAAGTAGGTCCTCCTTACCATTTTACTAAATTTGTGCAACTCCCCCATGCTTGAGTTGCCTGCTATGTGGGTCAACTTGTATAAAAGATTAAATCATCGTCTCTAGCTCTTTCTCAGCATCTATTTGACGCATTATGGTTCAAGTTCAAATTCTTTATTGCTGTACAAAGGTACAAGCCCAGTATCGCATAAGCACATCCGGTTTGAAAACGCATACAACAGTAAAGTTACAGAGGAATAGAGTACATAACATAGCATAACATGATATTTGATACAAATCAATTATATACAAGGTATGAAATAAAAGACAGGACTGTAGATACGGAGCACTATATACATAACATGATATACAAAGCAGTTTAATTACATATTAGAGATCGTGTAACAAATAAGAATGACTTTATATACAAGACATTGAATTGGAACACAATATACAAGACAAGTACATGTCAAAGGTCAAATACATAAATGGAATTGCGTAACAATATAAGATATAAGAGGTGGTATTTATGTTGCTAGGAGGTGCTATTGAGACATGGAGAGCTGCAAGTTTACAGTATTTGTTGACCAGCTGATTGAAGTAAACATAAGTGGAATGTTCGTTGATCAACTCGTTGCAACTACAGAGCCAGTCCTTTCCCCGAGAGTTGATTATAATCTTTAAATGTTGCCACTTGGCATCGAGCATTGGGAAGTTGAAAATATAATGGAGTGCTGTATCCTGAGTGCCACAGAGGGAGCATGTATTGTTCAAGTAGTTGGTAAATCTGTTAAGGTAGCAGTGGAAATTACCGTGGTTGGTAAAAAATTGCGATGTGGAATGGTTGAGTTTCAACCATTTATAGTTATAAATGTCTGAGATATGCGGGAAGAAGTTATTGGTAATTGATTGACGGTTGTTGTTCCAGTCATTCTGCCAGTTTTTAAGGAGATTGTTCCAAAGGATGTGCTTTAAGGTGGAATTGCTCATATTATTATAACTAGTGGTGAGAGTGAGGTCAGTGGCAGCCTCCTTTGCTAGATCGTCTGCCTGCTCGTTACCAGGATTACCCTGATGTGTACGAGTCCAGTTCAAGAAATATTCATTGGTGGAATGACGAATAGTGTAATAAATATCAGTAACTAGGTGGTGCGGATGTTTGTTTTTAATGCTGGCGATTGTTGCTTCACTGTCAGAGACAATGTTTATACTAAGGCCAGAGAAATTATTTTCACACCAGTGTATGGCATCATTTACAGCAAAGAGCTCAGCCTGAAAGACTGAGCAATGGTCGGCAAGTCTGAGTTGTTTGTGGAAGATTTCATCTTTGTCCCTATATACCACAAAGCTGCCTCCAACATGATTATCAACTTTGGAGCCATCTGTAAACACTTTGCAGTTGTTATTAAAGTTCCCATTAAATTTAATCGGGTTAAGATCTCCAGGGTAATGAGTGAGGTGAAAGGGAGTGGGCTTCTCCAAATCATCAGCATTAATTGTGCAGGAAGGGTTGACGTTAATGTTTTGTCCCCACTTGATATTCCACTGTTTGTAGTATAAGTCAATAACCTTTTCAATTGGCTGTTTGTGGGCCATCACCTGAAGGCTTGCATTTGGGGCGGTGCGATAGGCCTTTGTTATGAGTAGTAGGGCTTTACGTTGGGCAGAGGTGAGTGCACATCTAGGATGAACTTTTTGAGCAGCTTGACCCCAAGTGCCATATGTGTAAGTGATGGTAGGAATAAATATGTGGTCGTAGATGGTCCCCATAGCCTCTGAATTGAGGCCCCATTTATTTTTGGCATATTTGGCAAAGGTATGAAAGATGAGGCCCGTGTCAGCAGCTATATGTTTAATATGCTGGGTCCAGGTTAGAGTGGGGTCGAGAGTAATGCCCAGTCGAGAGATGTGCTATGCTTTTTCACCTTGACAGACTTCCCATACATTCTGATGGTCAGGACACGTGCGTAGAGGTTGTTTTTACCAGGGCTGTTGAACATGATGCATTTGGTCTTCTCTGCATTGAAGGATAGCTTGTTATTTTCACCCCATATGCAAATGTTTTTAATTATAAGCTTTGCTCTGTGCTCAAGGGCAGCTCTGGAATTTCCACCAATTAAAATAAATACATCATCAGCATAAACTGTGATGGAGTCCTGCCCAAAGTCTGTCCGAAGGAACGTGTCAAAAGCAATATTCCAAAGAGTGGGGCCACAGGCAGACCCCTGAGGACAGCCACGTGTCACTCTTCTTTCGTGTTGGCAGTCACCATATTGTAGTATGGCAGTTCTATCTGTAAGATAATCCTTGATCAGATGATATATGTTAGCTGGGCAGTTAATATCTCTGAGATGTTTGAGGATAATAGGCCACCAGGTGCTGTCAAAGGCCTTAGAAATATCCAAGCTGATTCCCAGTATGTATTTGTTATTTCCAAGGAGAGAGTGGATTTTGCTTATTACCATGTTGATAGCTTGCGGAGCAGACCTTTGTGGCCTGAAGCCAAACTGGTGTTCGCTAAGATAGTTGCCATTTTCCAAGTGCCAAACGAGTCTATTATTAATTAACTTCTCCAGAACTTTACCCATGGTAGGCAGGAGGGAGATTGGTCGAAGATCTTCATTGCTGCCTGGCTTAGGGATAGGTATGATTTTAGCTATCTTCCAAGCACTGGGAAAGATACCATGTCTAAGGCAGTTGTTGAAAATTTTAAGAATATTTTCTGGGATTAAAGTCCAAATGTGTTTGGCAATTTCTTCGGTGATATTGTCTATTCCAGGAGCCTTACCACGCTTAAGGGTGTTAAAGATCTGGTTAGTTTCTTCATGGTTGAAGGGAGGCATGTCGGTAGTGTTGATGTTATTTTGTTGGCTGTATCTGATATTACTTTGCCAGTCATTGTAGGTGTTAGGAGAATTATTGAGGTAGAAATTATTCATTTGGGCTTCTAGGGTTTCCTCTAAGTTGGTTGTGAAGGTATTGTTGATAGAGACTGTAGTAAGGATGCGGTGTTGCCTCAGTTTCCTGGTGCACAACTTTGTAATATAGCTCCATGGATTGCCAGAGGCATTGGTATTGGTAATAAAGATTAGAGGGCTGTCCTTATAAGCTGGACTCTACCCTTGTTTGAAGCAGAAGGAAGAAGTAGAAAGAGAAGAGATTAGAGGGAAGAGGAAATTAGGTAGAAAGGAAAGTGTGAAAAAAGCAACCAGGGGGCCCCCATGGGACCCCACGAGCGTCCACACCAGGTCATTTATTTAACTTAAATAAATACAGAGATACAATATATACAATATTTACAAATATGTACAAGATGATAATAAGGATGACAACAAACATGTAAAAAGTATAATAGAATGTAATCTAAAAACTTTTTAGATAAGTACTAGACGCGAGATGAGGTGAGGATCCAAGCTTGTTTACAAACAATTTAAGGGGAACAACACAAAACCCCTATATATGCAAGTGAGGTAATTAACAATTTATAAAATTAAAACTAATAAGCTTATAGGAACAATAACAAAATATAAGAGAATGCATGTTCCTAGAGTGATTCCCATAGGAATTGCCAAACGAGGGTAAGTGAAGGCAAGGGCATGGGGTCAACCTGACCCTCCATCGACGTATCCCGAAAAGGATCCCTCGATGCACCGAATGACACCATAACCAATCCTGCCCCGTGATGATACCGCAGCCAGGTGCAGAATGTTGGCACCGACGGTATCGGGGCTTAATCCCAATTAAGCTAGAAAGGATTGGCCATGGGTCATCGGCTATGCAGCAGGTGAGCATAGGTGATTATTATGTATTATTGAATGATGGGATCAGAGCCTTGCTGTCCTGGATAAATTTTCCTAGGGCTTTTAGCAGTTTATTATTGGAGATAAGGTTTGCTTCACTTGGTGGCCAGTTGAATCCCTCCTCGATACTTGTTCTTTCTAGTTGTGTTCTAATATTATCAAATTTACTGCATTCGATTGCCAGAGGCACTGGTACAGAATTCCTGCCAGGAATTGAGCTTGGATGTTTTAATTTCATGCTTGTAGATTTTTGGTGCTGTAAGTACTGAGTTTTGAGGTTGGAATGTTCAGGCTCACTGGATGTACTTTGGTATCTTTTGCGTAGTAGATTATTTGTTTTTCTCAGTTCTGAAAGTGTGGAGTTCCACCACGGCACCTGCCTGCCCTTAGGAGGGGTCTGTGGAATAAAGAGTTTGCAGGCTGTCGAGATGTGCTCGATGTTGTCTTCTATGATGCGCCTGGTGTTGTCCCTATCATGATTATCAGGATCCGTTAGGTGAGAGATGAGATGGTTGTGTAGCGCATTATGGTGCATGTGCATTGTCAACATGTGTCAATTTAAATTCTTTACATTTAGTTGTTCTAAGTTTAGCTTTGTTCTAAAGGACTAATGCCATTAGTTTTAATTCAAAGTCTTTGTTTGAAAAAATTTTATTTGATATTGCATATGCCTGAGGATGATGTTTTATAGCATGTCGAAAGCGCTTGCAAATATAGCGATATTTATACATAATTAACACCTGTGTGATAATTTGTTCTTCTCTTGTTTGAAATAGTTTAAGTTAAGATAACTTTAAAACATTTTTGATTTTATTTTTTATAGCAAAATACTTGAATTTATGAAGTCAAAGGAGTTAACTATTAATGAAACTGTCTTTAATTTCCTTGTAATGGGATATGTAAAATCAGGGTAGGTATTATAATATATTTTAAAAATTGTGAAATATTTTTTGTTTTAAATTTGAATTATTTTTCAGTAATATGGAAAATGCAAANAACAGACCCCAGTTTTATAATCTCTCTTTCACCTTTGTCAATGAGATATATATGTTGTTTACATATTCAATATTTTAAATAATTTATATTTTAACCCTTATGCAAGAAATGAGTAATAAATAAATTGACAATATACTGTATATACTGTAGAAATTTAATTCTCAGTAAAACAATTGTTCTGAAGTAGAATTACCCTATAGACCACTAAAATATCACTGTGAATCCCAATTTGGTATTTTTTTTTCTGTGGACCCCCATAATATTACATGGATCCCAGTTGAGAACACCTGCTATAGACTTTCAGTTTCCTACTTCATCTGCTGACAAAATTTAAAATAGAATATCTAATTATTTCAATTTTTATTGAATTTTTTCACAGTAGAGTTTTCCACCATTTTAAAAAATTTTTAGTCATAGTTGTTAATGTTGTTATTAAATGAGCAGTTATTTATTGTGACATCATCACAATGCCAGGCTACAATTTTTAATTTATTTAATTTAAAATATATGCTCGCTACCTCAAAATTTGTAGTGGCTTGATCCTGTACATCATACTTTTCCTTTAACAATTGTCGCGCCAGTCATCTATCTAACACTTTTCAGGGAAAATTTTTGAATTGAAATAACATGCTTTCCTGTTTGCATTGGAGATTTGTATATAGTTAACCTCCTGCCCTAAGGTATCCATATATAAGTTTTAAGCTTTCAACATTGTATCTTTATTAGAATGCTGTTATTGATTAGCTTCACATGACCTTCAAAGGTCAAATTCGGAGTACTCAAGGTCATAGCTGATTGTGAAATCTTCCGCTCTTTCCATGTAAATGTAAATTTTACCTCCCTGTCTATTCCAGTAATAAAAAATATGGTTTTCCATTAGTAAAAGCTTTTAATTTTAACCTTAAAATAATCTTGACCTTTAACCTACACCTAAGATCAAGGGTATATTGGAATGTGAATTTCCTGCTCTTTCCATTTCCGGGGTCAAAAATATGTATTCCCATTGAAAAAACAAACTTGATCTCCAAACGACCTTGAAGGTCAAGGTCACGTCTGAGATCTAATTTATTACCCCCTCGACACTCTACAACTTTTGTCTATACCTTTTTCCAAAATAATGAAATCCAATTAAGATATTTCATTGTCTCAAGATAAAAAATACACCCTGTATATATCATAGTCAGAAAAGTAATTATACATTAAAATAATTTGTGAATAATGATTAATTTTGTTCACTTGTCTAAAATTTGGATTTATAAAAAATGTATCTTGATATACTGTATTATGTTGGGTTTAGTGGGTTATACTCAGTTGACACCGGTGGCTGTGTACTATGCCGGACCAGAGTCAAGGCATAGCAACAAAAACAAAACTAAAATTAGATAAGTGTGTCAGTGTCTGTATTCAGGAATTTCCTAACAATGTGGCATGTATTCAATATAGTGGACTTCTGTAGTGTGATGTATGTATTTCTATTCAATTGTAATGTTCCCAGGCTTTTGTGTAGTGTGTGTGTGGTATCTCACCTGTACAGGAGAGAACGACAGGTACAATAAGCACCCTATCAACCCTCCACTGATACCTTATTTCCTGGGCGAGTTCTGTGTACTTGCTAAATTTTTCAGTGCATGTGTTTTGTACATTGTGAGTGTTTGGAATGGCTATGTTTATAATGTATGTGATTTTATTGTGTTTGTCAATGAGTGTGATGTCTGGTCTGTTGTGGTAAATTGTTTTATCTATGATTATGGCTCTGTCATAGTACATTTTGCGCGTGTTGTTTTCCAATACTGTCTGTGGAATGTATCTGTAGTATAGTTCATGGATGTCAAAATAATTTGTGTTTCTTTGCAAGCTCTTGGTGTATTATATTTACTACTTGATTATGTCTGTGTAAATAATCTGTGTGCACCAAGAGCTTGCAACCAGAAATGATGTGTTGTATAGTTTCTGGCATGATGTGACACTTTCTGCATGTGTCATTTATGAGGGTTATATCTTTGAGTATGTGTTTTCTGTAGTTTTTAGTATTTATGACCTGATCCTGTATGGCAATCATGAATCCTTCTGTCTCCCCAAAGAGACATCCCTGATCTAACCAGCTGTTTGATGCAGTTTTGTCAACAGAATCCTGGGCCAGGTCATAAGGATGCCTGCCATGGAGTGCCTTTCAAGCCCACGATTGTTTGATGGTGTCAATGCTTTTTATATGTTGTGTCGTGTTCGTATGATGTGAGTGTAAGTTTAATAATGTGTTATTTGAGTCTGGTGGAGTTACTGCTTTATGTAACTGTCATGTTTCTTGTTTCCTGTAGAAAAACTCTCGCAGTGACTGTATTTGTGTGTAGTGAAGGTTAGCTATGTCGATCAGACCACGTCCACCATCTTTACGTGGAAGGGCTAATCTTTCTATGGCAGATTTAGGATGATGCTGTTTATGCTTAGTAAGTGTTGTTCTTGTTTTCCTTTGGATTTGCTCAAGATCTGTGTAAGTCCAATGTATAACTCCAAAAGAGTATGTAAGCACTGGGATGACATATGTGTTTATTGCTTTAAGTGTATGTTTTGCATTTAACTATGTTTTGAGGATAGCATTTAACCTACTTTGGTATTTTTTAATTAATCTTTGCTTTATTTGTGTATGTTCTGTTAGTTTGGCCTGTTGGAATCCTAAATACTTGTAGAACTCGCCCTCTTCCATGGATTCAATAATATCTCCATTTCCAAGTGCAAAATCTTCTTTCTTCAGGACTCCTTTTTCTATGTGAAGTGTTTTGCATTTGTCTAGGCCAAACTCCATTTGTATGTTCTTGGTGTATGAATGTGTGATTTGTAGGAGTTGATGAAGTTGTTTTTGTGTGGATGTATAAAGTTTTGTGTCGTCCATGTACATGAGATGTGACAGTGTAAACTGCGTTGTTTTTCATGTCTGATATTGTAGCCATATTGCATGTTGTTTAACATGTTGGATAATGGGTTCAGGGCTAGGCAGAACCAGAGAGGACTTAGGGAATCTCCTTGAAAAATTTCTCGCCTAATGAATATTTCGTTTGTTTGTATGGAAGTGTTACTAACCCTGAGATGCAGTGTTGTTCTCCAGTGTTGCATAGTGTTTTGGAAGAATTCAATAAGTGATGGATATATTTTGTACATGTGTAGAATATGTAGCAGCCAACTGTGCAGAATGCTGTCGAATGCTTTTCTGTAGTCTATATATGCCATGTGTATGTTTCTGTGTTGTTTGTGTGCTTGCCGTAGAATGACTGAATCTATGAGTAACTGTTCTTTGCATCCTCTGTAATTTCTACGGCAACCTTTTTGTTGTTCTGTAAGAATGTCGTGTTCTTCAATATGTTTGTATATTTTGTTTGTGATACAGGATGTCAATAATTTGTAGAGTGTTGGAAGACATGTAATTGGTCTGTATTGTGTTGGGTCTGTGGTNTTCTTAGTATTATGTCTTGTTTGGTTTTTTGATAAACAGGGCAAGAGCCTTCGCGAGCATTGTGGTCTGTTTTGTTTTTCTTTAAGTGTTTACAGTTGGTACAGGTTGGTTTGGAGGTTTTATTTGGACAATCTTTGTAGCTGTGCTCTCCGCAGCAGTGGCTGCAAGTAGCTTCGGCCTGTGTACAATTTTTGGTCGTATGCCCAAATCTACAGCAGCGAAAGCACTGCAGCACTGGGCAATAGTCAGCCACTTTGCACCTTGACCACTCGATATTGATTTTCTCAGACATTAACAATAGTTTACGGAGGTGAGGGACGACCTCAATAGCCCAGTTTGTATATGCATTGCCTTTTCTTACCATGCCAAATTTCACAGACATCATGCCCTTGAATTCCTCCTTTTTAATATTTTCACTAATGATGCTGTTCTGGTTGTAGATCAGTATTGGTATCTCCTCCCGAGTGATTTCATTAGGCACAGAGTAAATTACTATAAATGGTAATCTTTTCCTTGGTTTCCTAACAGAAACCTCAGGTATTTTGTCCTCTATGAAGTTTTTTAGTTTATCAGCATCCTCTTTCCTTTTTAATTCTATGGCTAGACCGCCACCACCAATGTTACGGATGCGGTCTATGCCGATATTTAGTTGTGATGGTTTTACTTTTCCACAAATTGTGTTTCGTAGCTTGTTACAACTCTTTTCCTCATCGCTGCTGTAGAGGAGAAGGACCTCAGGTTTGGTCATGTGAACTTTATTGTTTCCTGTTTGATTGACAACCTTTCCAGACTGGAGGACCGCACTATAAGATTGAGGTACCTCCAGGTTATCAGTTGGATCATCAATGTTTCTTTTTGAAGTATTACCCTCAAGGTTTGTGGGCAGGCATTGCACATGCTCAGTGATTTTCTCATTGTTGTCGTGTATCTCGTCTAGTTTTGAGATGACCGAGTTCAGTTTATGATCTAATCTGTCAGAGAATTCAGACAGAGATGAAAGGCTTTTTTCAAGTGAGCCATCTTTGATTTTCTCCAGAGCCTGTATAAGTAAGTCATTCTCCAGGAGTTTTTGAAGACCTTCGTGTGGCTGCAATTGGATGTTCATAGAGCGATGGGAGCCAGGTGGTAGTAGGACTGGTATTGGAGGTGTTGAACCAACACTGAGAATCTTGTTGTACTTGGAAGAAATGGCCTTTTTTCCTGTTGGGGTATTGGGAGAGATGGATTTTTGTTGATTCTCGTTGGACAGGATGTTAGTCCTGATAAGTTTTTCAGCCATGTCAATAATTTTTGTGAATTGTTCAGAGATGTAATCAACATGCACTTCAGTTCCCAGGCGAGCCCTATGATTATCAGCACAATATTCTTTAAACTTGTCGACGACTTGATAGGATTTATCCAAAAACTCGTCCAGAGTGATAGGTGCCATTGTAACACAAGTGATTGGTGGTAAGATATGTGAAGAGTGGCCCAATTCTCAGAGGAGACTCTGCACTGTTGATGTGATGATGAGATGATGGACAAAACGATGAAGTCACACCAAGCTGGAAGAGCGCACAGTCAAACAGGCTTACCCAAGATGGATTGAAGCAAAACCCTGTGTTGTCAGGAAGAGAATGATGTGAAAGTTCCTCAAACACCCTAATGGCACAGTAGTAAAAGACTGCAGTAGACCTAAAGCTGGCAAATGGCGTGTAAACCAAGACAATTGACAAAAGTCTGTGTAAACTGCAGGGAAGTACACTTGAAGGGGTGCTTTCCAGAAATCGGTAGTGGCAGAGTCCCAGAAACCCTGCTGCCAAAGATGAAGACTGTATAGTAGAACCAAGGAGAGAGATGGCCCAAAAACCGTGACAACACCGAAAGTACTGGCGACAGTTGCATATAAGGGTCCTGGCACACCTGAGCTTGCCAAGCACAGCTTGGCTCGAGCAGTCTAGCCAAGTTGAACCAGACAGAATACCTGTCTGATCTACCTGGAGTGAAGCAAGTGCTGGCAATGACACCTGCCAACACGGACAGTCCAGGTGGATGGGGGGACCAGTCTGCTAGTAAGTGGGTCTCCCCAAGTAAACCAAAAGTAGTTGAGGGTGTCTCACTCACAAAACAAACACAGTAATCAAAGATGGCTGTGGAGTACCTTCTGGAAAAGAGAAATTCATCCTGCTTGGGGAGGCTAAGATGGTGGACACACAAAATCCAAAGTTCTGACAAATAAATTTGCCAGAAAAGTTAGGCTTAGGAGAGCTAACCCTAACCACTCAGCTAACCCTAAAAGGGGCCTAACTCCCTATACCCTAGTATGGGGAACAGGCTGCTAAGCCTAAAACTAGGGCTAACTGAACTAAACTTAGCTAAGATTGAAGAGCAAGTGAAAAACACGTCCTTTCCCTAGCAAAGCATAACTCCAACTCCTGTTGAAATGACAGTAGGAGAGACGATGGGAAATCGACGAACGTTTAGTCGTAAATTAAGTGCAAACACAAGCAGAAATCGCACGATATGTGAGTCGCGGATAACGGCTCGTTGGTCTAGCGGTATGATTCTCGCTTTGGGTGCGAGAGGTCCCGGGTTCAATTCCCGGACGAGCCCTCCGATTAATTTTGTTTAGCGTAATAGCGGTAATTTTGAAAGACGTGCGAATTTCGTATAGATCAATTTCTGCTATGTACGATTTCCTGGCGTGTACCGTAAATGTTTCTTTTGTTTTTTACTAAAGGAAGTGTGTGTACTGTTTGAGTAAAATCTTGGGAGTCGTTGAACGTGGCTCGTTGGTCTAGAGGTATGATTCTCGCTTAGGGTGCGAGAGGTCCCGGGTTCAATTCCCGGACGAGCCCTTAGCTTTTTGATGTCTGAAATGCAGAAGAGTTTATGCGCAGATGAATCCAATATTAATAGAGTTGGTTCAGATGAACGAAAATGGATTTGGACTACATCGATGAAGTCTATAACTGATCTAAAAGTACAAACGACATCGAAATTTTGTAATGGTAGTCTTATGGTCTAGAGCTGTTATTACTTATTTTAGTTATTTAAGTTCTATAACTAATAGAATGCATAATTTACAGCGTTATTTACACTTGACAATTATTTGTCACAATCTGTTGATTATTACCACATCTTTCATTTATCAGCAAGGTAATGATCCGAAACATTGATCCAGATCCAGGAATCAAAATATTAGCCTGCATGAATGATTGCCTCAATCGCCTGATCTCGGCCGGACCGAACCCATCTGATTCCTTCTTAATCGTCGCTTGTCTAAATGTAAATACTGTATCTCTTTCGAAAGACTCTTGTTTTTATAGGTAGCGTGGAAAATTTCAGGTGTTTCTATAAAGGGTTGCCGAAATATAAGCAGTTGAAAAGTGCAAAGATCTCCATAACTGAAAAGTGCAAAGATCTCCAAATAACTCGTTCGAAAGACTCTTGTTTTTATAGGTAGCGTGGAAAATTTCAGGTGTTTCTATAAAGGGTTGCCGAAATATAAGCAGTTGAAAAGTGCAAAGATAAGTGCGAAGTGCAAAGCTGCAACTTTTCTCTTTCTTATTCATTTGGCGGTGCAGATGCTGCTAGAGAAAGAACAGCACTGGGTGTAGAGAGCTCAAATTTATAACTTAATTAATTTAATTAAGCCTTTTTTGTTATCAGTGAGGTGCTGGCAAACTTGCGGTTACATAGGTAAAACTTGGCGGGTTCCTATTCCTTGCTTTTGTCGCTACTTAGGATGAAATAGCATCCGAACGAATGAATTTAATTCGAAATGTTGTTCAGAATAGCAAAACTCAAATTTATGCAAATTAAACTTTTTTGTAACAATTAATCTAACAGCATATTGAAAGCATTCGGTGGGTGGCCATCGTGTCGCGGAATTGTTGGTCGTAGCTGCCTCGGGTTTGTTTTGTTAAGGTATCTTTTACGACGCACAACACCCATCGCCTCTATTGTTCAGCGATCTCATGTCGTCCGCCCCGGAGCTACGATTAAGTTCGTAGTTCTCTCCACTTTGAAAGACTATAAAGAAGTGGAACTGTCAATTATCGATGTATGCATAAATGTTTTCAAATAAACGGTTTTTTCTTTTGTAAAAAACTTGTCATTAATTGCTATTTTCGCTACACCCACATGCACTTCCCTTTGGTTCATCCTTATGTGGGATCAACTGATCCCACCTAAAAGACGGCAATATTACACTGATTCCGAGGAGTGGGTTTTCAAGTCCACTATTCCATTGGTCGGCGACTTTACATCGGCGTGTTTATCTAGTTTTTCCAGAACTAGATGGACACGCCATCTAGAAAGACCCTTATACTACTTAAACCAACTTAAAACTAATAACTTTTAACTTAAACTATGGAAAAAACAAACTGAAAACCTTTTCGGTTTTCTGGAAAGCAGTATAACCGAAAAACCCAAAAAACTAGAAAATGGGATAGCCTAAAAAGACGAAACTCACAGGTGGAACATAGCACCTACTAAAGGAACGAATTACAAAGGGAAAACTAACTACGAAAAAATATAAACCAGGAAAAAGCCAAAATACTAACTAACACCGAAAAGTCTATGATAACGGCTAGGCACTTGAAAATGGCCTAGTAAAATTTAACTATGAACAACCGAAAAGAATAAAGAACAACTTAGAAAAGTTTGAAAAACCCAAAATACCGTAATTGAATCAAACCAGAAAAATTCGAAAACTAGTTGACTGAGAACAACCAAAATTGTAGGGAAAGCTATACAGCTGAAGTCCTAATTAACTACAAAAAGAGAACTATCAAACTTAATACTAAACCGAGACAAGACTAACTAACTGATAAACACCCTAAAAACTGAAAATTAAAAAAAAAACAGCAAAAAACAAGAAGGCAATCGAGTGGAAGTTGAAAAGGAGTAAAATTAAATCGATTAAATCAAAGAAACTAACTGATTCTGCTTGAGAATGCCAAAACAGAAACTGAGCTAGCTAAGCTTAAAAGATGAAAAACACGTAAAAATGAAAAATCTATCCTATTGAGAACGAAAAACTGATTCAAAATCTAAGCAGTAACACAAATACTAACTAAAGTGACAAAAAACAGAAGGGAAAACCTCTCAATAGAGCTCAAGAAACACAAAAGTAGACCACAGCGAAAAGCTCACCAACAAAGGCCTGAGATCTCCAATAGAAAGAAGTTTTTACATCTGCAATCCGTTTTCTTGATTCTTTTTTTTTATTATTTTACTGAAAAAATTGGAATATCTTCAAACTACACTACATTTTGTCTATAAAAATAGTTTAAAAATAAAAATAAAACATAAAATATAATTGTACGCTTAATCCAATTAGAGAAGTGTTTTGATGATTCAATCGTCTCTGGAATAATCAGTTGCTACTGTATCGCTTTCGTAATTTGTAATTATTGTTCTGTGTTTCTTTGTTTATTATTCTTCCACAAAAAGATTTATAAGAAATTCTCTACTTGTACTTACAATTTTGTTCCTCGCATTATAATTTGTTCTTTAAGGACATACACAGCCCCTCAATAGTAATAACTTGTTTTTTAAATATTCCCGAAACTTTTTTCTAAAGTTTAATTATTTTCTTTAATAATTCTTTAAATTTTATATGCAAATTTTAATCGATTGTTCTCATTTTCTCGTTCTCACTAGTCAATCCCCATTACGAATCTTTAATTACATCATTTAATTTAATAATATGTTAATAACAAATATATTAAAAATAAAAATGTACAAATAAAACTTTATTTAAACTGATTAAACACTTTAAACTAGATTAAATTGATATTTAAAACATGTGATTACAAGTGTAAAATCAGCAGTTTAACATCTAAAATTTAAAAAAACAATATAATAATAATTTTTTACACTTCGAGTGCCAAGTATTTTGATGTTTTACCTTACATAAAATCTATTTCTAAAGAACAAAATGTTTAGAAAATTTTTCCATGTTGTCATTAACGAGTTTTTTTATTTTCTCTTGTAAACTATGCAATATATGCGGAAACATTGACTTTATTTTTACTTCAAATATGTATTTTGCAAGCCAGTTAAACAGATACGTAAACCCAGTTAAGGAAACCACTTTAAAATCTTCGATTCTAGTAATATTAAATGATTTTAGTTCGCTTTCTTCAAAAGGCAACTCAACTAAAAGTGTCATTTTGGATTCCACTCTTCCAATTTTTATATGAATCTTCCCAGAAATGATTACGTTTAAAATATTGAAAAGAATAATATTACATTGGTAAGACGAGTGAATATCCAAACGATAAGCAATTAACCCAGATTTAACAGAAATATCGTTGTCATCAAAATTCAATTCACATTCTCCGTGTCTTTTAAGAGAAAATAATAATCCATACAACTTTATATCCCAAACAGAAGTACCCGTATTTTCATCCCAGTACGTTCCTAAATCGGCTGGTTGAAATTCTCGTCTTATCTCATCATCGTTTGTAATATTTGTTATCAAGTTGTCCATCTCTTCGTTGCAGTCTGAAACAGAAATAAAATAATACAAAACAATGAAATTTACTTTAGTAATATCTATATTAAAAGAAGAAATCTCAATACAAATACGCATTTAGTTAATAACAATTATTATTATTGTTATACGTAATAATTTTACAAGTTAAAACACATTTTATAAGTTAGTTTACTTACCCGATTTAACAAATCCGAACAAACACAATAAGAGAAGAGCGATCATCGTGCCAGCCAAGGTTACAGCAACTTCCTTTAAATCTACATTTGCGTATAAATATTTAGTTATAATTTGTACAATTATTAACATTTATACTTTACAATTTCATCGAAATAGAATTAGTAACACTTAGTAACGAAACTTATATACATTAAGAGATGTTACATATAAGATTCCCGCTTATACAATTGATATCAATTTTTTGTATTATATGAAGTGCAATGTGAAAGTACAGTTGACCCCCTNGCTTTCTTCTTCACCAGTCGTCTCGCTTCTCCCGTGATGTTCTCTCTCCCCTCTACTCGACTCCCTGTACCGGCCTCTTTCGTCCAGATCGCGTTTCACTTTCCACATTATTATACAGTAGATTCCCTCATGTACAAGTGTTAATTAAAAATATATGCTCTCTCCACCTCAAATTAGTAGTGTCTTTCTTCTGTAAATAATACTTTTCCTGTTAGCAAGCCCTTGTATATCATACTTTACCTATTTGCAATAGAGTACTTCCGTCAGTTATTTAACTTTTTTCAAGGGAAAAAGGTTTGAATTAATCGGGTTTCCATATCTGATCTTAATTAACTTTCATCAATATAACCCCGTTTTCATACGTTTATAAAGATATAATCCATATAATCCACTATTAGTTTAATTAAAGCAGGATTACAAATATACATACGTATGTCTTCTGTATGAGAAACCGATAAAACAAAACAGGAAATGGGATATTATTGTTTGCTTCAAAGTTTGTTTTCTGTTCCTCTTTCCTTCCTGTGGGCACTACAATGATGATTTTTCAAGCCCATGGGTCAGCGTGCAGGCAGATACGAAGTCAGTAAAAGTCGAATTAAATCAATAAAATATAATTTCACGACTAAATACTTTGAAAATTAAATAAACTGTTGTTATTTAAGTTAAACAGTGTAGTGAACTATCCATTTTACAATCCGATTAGTTGAAATCTTGGGAATTTTTCGTCCATGCCGACATGTCGGGCCTCTTATCTCATCACCTGGTCGCAGGAAGTGGTTCTCGCCGAATCCATTCGGTTTTTAACAAGTCCATTCAGTCAGGCCCGCCGGAAGTGGGCCTAACCGAATGAGCATTTAAAAGGCCTTCTTTGTTCTGTATTCTTTCTTGGCACCATGAAGACTTTTTTAGCAAGTCTAATATGAATTAGCTAAAAAAGTCAGTTCAGAATTCATATACGAAGCTATATTAATTTCATCATTTATTTTAAATTACAAACTACAGAATCTTGTATTATTAAAATTATTATATAAAACTCTACCCAAATCTATAAACAAATATAGAAGTCACAATACATACTTGAACTATGAGAGTGAACGAAGAATCGCTTTCGAATTAGAGATAACGTCGCATCGACTGTTTCTTTACCAAGCTAAACTCATACTTATATTTTGAATTAAAGCTTATACGCCAAATTATTTAATAAAAATGCAATATAATTTTTACATCGAAAAATATATTCGTTATTCTTCTTCATTCGTAACATTTAACAATTACTTCTGCGTACACAATGCCGAAGTTTTGTTCCCGAAATACTTTATAATACACCTTTTATACGAATTTCCATTGAATTTCCAGTCTTATAGATTCATTCTATAAAGTACATAAATTACAAAGAGAGTTGGAAAGATTTAAAGTTTTTCTGTTGTTAGAAATTAACAAATGATTTTTAGAATCGCCAAAAGAAAATGTCGAAATTCATCAGATTTACGAAGAGAAAACTTTAGAGTAAATTCTAAATTATCTAATTAAATTATTCTAATTTTTATATTATTTTAAACGGAATTTATAATATCGCTTACGAATATTATTGTTTGATCTTTCGCATTATTCTCTTGTTCATTGTGTAAGAACACAATGGACGACAGAAAGCAATCGCTTGTAATTCATAAAGTGGGAAAAGTGTATTAAACAATAACAAATAAGCAATTTTATTCATTTGTTATGATAGGCTGTTAAATGGCGAGGCATACTATTAGTGGTTGCCCGTTGTATCCCATGCCAAGCAGTAGACACAGCTTGGCATGGGGTACAACGGGCAACCACTAATAGTATGCCTCGCCATTTAACAGCCTGTATAAATGGACGACAGAAAGCAATCGCTTGTAATTCATAAAGTGGGAAAAGTGTATTAAACAATAACAAATAAGCAATTTTATTCATTTGTTATGATACATATCGATATTATTTATTAATTCCGCTATAAATTGCATAAAATACGACATTTATAATATACTCTTTTCGTAGGCACAAAAAAGGCCTTTTATTTATACTACGTGGTTTCGGTTTGCCTCACAATGACAACAGCCGAGTGATAAGTATGGGTCTTACATAACGAGACACACCCAGGTATTTTTGGGTGATCTGTCCCGCATATGTCTAAATATATGTATGTACTTTTTTGGGACCACCAGTAGCCATGTGGTTCCGTTCCTTGAACACAGGTAGTTTGGTCGTGAGGTCGGCGAGGCTCAACCTCACGACCAAACTTATTAAAATATTTTGCATGCCATCAAAGATGATAATTAAAAGAACAAATATATGCAACAGGTGCCTCTTTATTCGCAAGGAATATGGCCACCATGGGTATAGTACATACATATATTTAGACATATGCGGGACAGATCACCCAAAAATACCTGGGTGTGTCTCGTTATGTAAGACCCATACTTATCACTCGGCTGTTGTCATTGTGAGGCAAACCGAAACCACGTAGTATAAATAAAAGGCCTTTTTTGTGCCTACGAAAAGAGTATATTATAAATGTCGTATTTTATGCAATTTATAGCGGAATTAATAAATAATATCGATATGTATCATAACAAATGAATAAAATTGCTTATTTGTTATTGTTTAATACACTTTTCCCATTTTATGAATTACAAGCGATTGCTTTCTGTCGTCCATTTATACAGGCTGTTAAATGGCGAGGCATACTATTAGTGGTTGCCCGTTGTACCCCATGCCAAGCTGTGTCTACTGCTTGGCATGGGATACAACGGGCAACCACTAATAGTATGCCTCGCCATTTAACAGCCTATCATAACAAATGAATAAAATTGCTTATTTGTTATTGTTTAATACACTTTTCCCACTTTATGAATTACAAGCGATTGCTTTCTGTCGTCCATTGTGTTCTTACACAATGAACAAGAGAATAATGCGAAAGATCAAACAATAATATTCGTAAGCGATATTATAAATTCCGTTTAAAATAATATAAAAATTAGAATAATTTAATTAGATAATTTAGAATTTACTCTAAAGTTTTCTCTTCGTAAATCTGATGAATTTCGACATTTTCTTTTGGCGATTCTAAAAATCATTTGTTAATTTCTAACAACAGAAAAACTTTAAATCTTTCCAACTCTCTTTGTAATTTATGTACTTTATAGAATGAATCTATAAGACTGGAAATTCAATGGAAATTCGTATAAAAGGTGTATTATAAAGTATTTCGGGAACAAAACTTCGGCATTGTGTACGCAGAAGTAATTGTTAAATGTTACGAATGAAGAAGAATAACGAATATATTTTTCGATGTAAAAATTATATTGCATTTTTATTAAATAATTTGGCGTATAAGCTTTAATTCAAAATATAAGTATGAGTTTAGCTTGGTAAAGAAACAGTCGATGCGACGTTATCTCTAATTCGANAATATAAATATATGAAGTACTAGAGCTGTAATAAACTACATAAATTTTTAATATCAAATTGAAAAAATAACAGATTATATTGTAAAATAAATTTTTCATAAATTCAACCATAAATTATATAAAATTACATTCCAACTTCTATTTTTACATCTGAAAATTGTATAAATTCACAAGGATGCAGCTGAAAGAAAACAATAGAAGTAGCCTAACTCGGGTCTTGTACGATGTATTTCACCATTCCCGTATTGTTCTTAATGTTTTTACCTACATACAAAACAGATGATGGTGCCAACAAATTTTACTCTTATTCTGAATACTTTAAATAAGTATTAACTTCGAATAATTATTTTTTCAGGAATTGACAAAATAGAAGAATTAGTTGTTGGTGATTGCAATGAAAATTTTGATGCTATGGCTTGCCATTTTGACTGCGAGAGAAAACGATTTTTTTTTGGAATGTGTAAGCGGTTATCAGATACTGAAGATATATCCTCCTGTGTTTGCATAAAACTTACGACAACGTATGTACAGTATTAACTTATATTATTTGTTATTTTGATATATACGGTATTATTTGTTATATATATGGTAAATGAGTATTCACTTCGAATAATTTTTTTTTTCAGACGCTGTAGAGTTGGAAAGATTGGTTGCAATTAGTGATTGCAATGAAAATTTTGATCAGGTGGCTTGCAAAGTTGACTGCATGGGAAAAGAATTTCTTTTTGGGTCGTGTTTGCGGTTACCAGATACTGAAGATACGTGTGTTTGCATAGGAAAACGTCCGACGGGCTTCTCAATGTAGTTGTTTTAAACTCTTATTATTTGTTATATACACGGTAATCTGATAATTATGCTGTATTTTTGTACCACTTAAAAGTCAAAGAATATTTTATTATTATTAACGTAGTAGACTCTTAATCATATACAATGAACTCTCCTGAAAGTTATAAATTAATAAAAATATAAATGCTAAGTTATCGATTGTTTATTTAAACTACAATACGTGAATGTGTGTTGTTCTAGAAGATAGGTCGTAGTTCGGATATCGAGTTCGTTCTCGTAGTTTCTTTCTAAAACAGTGATTCCCAAACTCTTTCGACTCACCGTCTCCTTGTTTCTATAAACTTATACCCAACGCTTCCACCATAATACAACGCTTACAATCCAATTTCCCTTGTAGTCATCGTTCGGCCATGCCTCCACTTCTCCCTTCACTAGATTTACTCTCCGCCCTCTGGGGCGGTAGCATTCACTTTGGGAACCACTATTATAGATGTATCGGGGACATTTTAGAACATTTATTTATCAGAATTACATTTGCTAAACATGATATATTAAAAATCGAATGGCATAAAAGATGGGGGATGATGTTTCGATCTGTACTTGCACATGTTAAATGAATAGTTTCGTATTGTTTCACATAACAGAATGTATCTAATGTTGGAATTGGATTGGTTGTATACGGCAACCCGACACGAGCAATATGCCAAAGGCGGAATGCTTCTCGGAGGACTTTCTATGGGAAAGTGGTTCCTATTTAGGTGTTACAAGCGTGAAGAAAACCCGAAAATTCCACGTGGCCAATTCGTTGGCCAGGCGCGAATCCACGACCAACTGTTTTGTAGGTTTATCCACTCGGCGCTCATGGGCGCGGAAGAGTTGAAATTCCTTGTTCTAAACTAATATCGGTTATAATTTTAACATAAAGAATTTCATAGGTTTTCAGTAAAGTAGCGGTTATATTTTTACTTTAAAATCATTCAACTAATTTGTTTAGAGATCGGCACGAATATTTGAAGCATTAGACTCTTAGATTATTAGATTATAGACTTATTACTTACAGTAAATATTCGAAGAAAAAATTTAATTTAATCGTCAAACGATATTAATTTTTCAATAAATTAATATAATAAATTTTATTATATTCTGAATATTAAATTATTGTCACTTAGAAATAAGATTATAAAAGTGAACTTGTGACTAAAAGCTGCATGTGTTTTCATAGGAAAGAAGTTTTATCTGTGTCATCATCATCACTGTTGAACAATTCTACAAAGAAAGATCGAAACTGGGTTTGGGCTACGTTTGTGTTAAATACCTGTAGACTATGCAACCCTCTGTTATGTTATACGAACTTTTGATCACTAATTATACGACCAGAATACTTATACATCTTTTATTTTATTTATTACAGTGCGATAGACGTACAATTTAAACACCTGGACCATCTGGGCGCCGGTTTAAATGTTTAGAGATCGTCACAATTATACGAAATATTAGATTAACAATACTAGTCAATTTTTTACATTCACTTCGATATTATATAATGTAATAATTCTGAGAAATATAAGCTTAATTTAAAGGTCAAACTCTATTATATTAATTTTTTATAAATTAATTTAATAGAGTTAAGATTAAATTTTTAATTTTTATATCACATAAAATGTATAAATTCATAGAAACGAAGCTGAAAGGAAACAGAATTTTATAAGAGGTGTAAACACTGGTATGATGTATTCAACAATTCCGGTATTGTTCGTAATGTTTTCATTTACATACGGGGATAACGAAGGTGAATAAGGATTTTTGTATTTCTATTTATCACTAAGTGAGTTGTAGTTTAGTATTAGTTATATGGAATTATTCTTTCAGGAATTATACCCGAAGAAATTATAGCTATTGCTAA